ATAGTTTAATATATATATACATATATATGCTTTGATCTAATAAAAGATACCAGAAAGGCTACCGATAATTGAAAAAAAAAAAATTATTTGGATATGTCTATCTGGATATTATCTAGATATATTTATCTGAATAGCTGTGTTTACAATCTGGATATCTGATTATCTGCAAATAACCCAAGTAATATTTAATCCAGGTATCATTACTATATTTGACTAAAATCAATAAACTTTTTTTTATTTGAATTCTATAGATTTGTAGAATTCAAATAAAAAAAATTATTAATTTTGGTCAAGCAGTTACCAAGATATCTTCAATTAAAAATTTAGTACAAATATCAACAAGTTATTATCGTTAAGTGATATAAATATTTTTTTAATTTTTTATAAACTTTAATTAAAAATATCTTGATAACTATATAATCAAATTTGATAAACTTTTTTTTATTTGAATTCTACAGATCTATAAAATTAAATTTTATTGATTTTAGTCAAGTAGTTGCTAATATATTTTTAATCAAAGTTTTAATATAAATATTAACATAATTATTATTTTGTGATATAAATAATTTAAATTTTTTTATATATTTTGATCAAAAATATCTTAACAATTACTTAATCAAAATTAATAAACTTTTTTTATTTGAATTCTACAGATTTGTAAAATTCAAATAATAAAAAATTTATTATTTTTGATCAAGTAGTTGTTGAGATATCTTTGATCAAAAGTTTAAAATTTTGTAAATAATAAAATGATAAAATTAAAAAGATCTTTATGTAACTATAGTATAAATAGCAAAAATCTATAGTATAAATAGCAAATTTTTATATATAAACAAGCTATTTCTATAGTTATTAAATTATAAATTTAACTATTTTTATTGCTATTAAAATTAAATTTTAATATTTATTATTAATAATTTTATAATTATATTGATATATATTTGATAAATCAAGATTGATATATAATATTTTTAAAGATTAATTAAATATATATTAGATATACAATATATTGGTATATATATATATATATATCAAAGTGACTTTATAGTTAGAAGTTTTATTGATTTGTATACTAAGCTATACTTAGTTAACTGCTACTTATTTGGTATATGATTTTGAAGAATACAACTAACCACATATATAATTTTGGTTATCTATTTAAGTAGTTTGCTTGAAGGTTCTACACTAGCTGCTATATCTATAATCTAACTATAAAATTATTTATTTAAACCCTCTGTACTATCATATTCTTGTGAGACCTCAATCTCATTTTTGATACAACTAATCTAGAGCACCAAATCTGTTGATTGCTTTTGAGATAAACTTATTAAAGCTTTCTATATCTACAATTCAGCTAATCTAAATTTTTCAGTAACTTAGCTAAGTTTGAGAATAAGTACTTGTAAGCTGAAGCTACTATCATTATCTACTTCTTGCCCTTATAGAGTTTGCTCAAATCCTAATACACACTTAATGAACTACTAGCTCTATTTCTAGTTCACTAAACTTCTAATTCAGATAGCCTGAAAAAGTTGTGTCTTGCTTTTGATCCTTATGGTTAAAACCTTTTTTATGATTGCTTTTCTAGTAGCCTGATTAATAAAATATCTTGCTAAACACTTCAGTTCTGTTTAATTTTTCTTTTTCTAAATAATAATTTGTTATATAATACTGTTAAAATCTGTGCTATCTCTTTACTCGGGTCTTGCCAAGCAGGTTTTTGTATTTTAATTCACTAGTTTTACTCGACTACTTCATTGTTGTATAACTTATATATTATACAGTATTTTTATAGCCTCTCAGTATAAGCTAATACTGGTATAACCCTATTACAGGTGCTAACCCAATAGGATACAGTCTTTTAAATATATTCTGTAATTTAAATTTTATCAACAGTGAGATTTGAACTCTTGTCCTACTGCTTGGGAATACAATAACTATATATTAGTATATATATATTGATACTAGCTAAAGTTGTTAATAAAATATTTTAGACTATAATAAAATATATAATTTGTTTTTAGAATATTTTAAAATAAATTATATATTATATTATTAATTAGAATACTTTATTAACAACTCTAATATTAACAAATCTTAAGCTGATCAATTTGTAAATACTTATTTATTAACTATAAATTTTATTATAAAGATATTAATTTATAGTAAATATTTATTTTTTAAACTTTATAATAAGAGCTCTAATATTTATTATTTAATATTTATTTACTATAAAAACCTATCTCTTTTTCTAAATAATATTTATTTTAACTAATTAAATTATAAAATTATATTAAAATAAAGTTTGATTTTATTTCATCCTTTAATATATATTAATACTCTAACTTTATTTTAATAAATATTTTAAATTTTTTAACTTTAAGCAAAAATATCTTGACAATTATCTGATTAATTTTGAAAAAATTTTTTTATTTGAATTTTATAGATTTATAAAATTCAATTAAAAAATTATTAAATTAAATTAGATAATTGTTAAGATATCTTTGCTTAAAATTAAAAAAAATATCTATTAAAATAAAAACTGTTAAATTTTTTCTAAACTTTGAGCAAAGATATTTTGATAACTATTTAATTAAATTCAATAAAATTTTTTTATAAAATTATAGAATTCAAATAAAAAAGATTCACTGAATTTGGTCAAATAATTGTTAAGATATCTTTGCTTAAAAAATCAAAATACCTATTAAAATAACAACTGCCAAATTTTTTTTAAATTTAAGCAAAGATATTTCAACAACCACCTGACCAAATTTGATAAAAAATTTATTTAAATTTTATAAAATTAAAAATTTAGTAAAAGAATTTTTATCGAATTTTGTTAGATGGTTGTCGAGATATCTTCGCTCAAAGTTTAGAAAAAATTTGGCACGTTTATTTTAATAGGCATTTGATTTTTTCTAACTTTGAGTGAAGATATCTCAACAACCATCTGACCAAATTCAATGAATACTTGTTATTTGAATTCTATGAATTCATAAAATTCAAATAAAAAAAAAGTTTATTGAACGTGGTCAGGTGGTTGTCGAGATATCTTTGTCAAAATTTTAAAAAAAATTATTTTTACTGGGAAGTATAAATACCAAATATGGGGGTACGAATACTAGCCCCTTATTTTATTTTATTTAAAACCCATTTTAAATTTTGCTAGCATCTTATTTTTTAAATAAAACGGAGCAGTGGGCCAAGGTCAATTTGGATTATTATGTTTAATTACCATCTGGGTATGCTAACTAAAGTCCAAATTTAATTCGAATAGCCCTCTACAAAATAGAATCGAAATTCTAATTTTGAGTTATTCAATTTTTCACTTTGTTTTGATTATACAAGATCTGAAATTTTGATTGGCTTTACAAATAACTAGATAACATAACCTCGGAGACAAGTTAGCAAATAGTACTATAAATTATGCTTGACTATCTAACTAAATTTAATAAAGAATTTTTTAATAAAATAATTATTATACTAGCCTTAATTAAAATTGGACCGTTTTGATCTATTCCGCTTTAAAAAAACCCCTTTTAGGAGTTTGTATTATCAGCACAAATAAGGCCCTACTGGGGTGATTTCACCGTGGAATGTATTGTAACTGATCAACGTTGTACGGAATTAAAAATTCATGATAATCCGAAAAAAGTAGAATGATCCTACAAAGTAGAATGATCTAAAAAAGTAGAATGATCCAAAAAAGTACCGTAAACTGCCGTATAAAAGACCCGGGTTTAGTACATTTCATCTATTACTAGACCCATGGGTCTCTTGGATGGGAAGGGTTAATGATAGTTGAATTACTGATCGTTAGTACTTAATCCTATTTGTATACCCCGGGTCTTTTAAAACTTTATTCTATATTATAGACCTGGTATAATACATAGGGGGCCTGATGCGTGGGGGTCTTTTATACGGCAGTTTACGGGTAGAAAATAGAATGATGCCAAAAAAGTCGAATAAAAATAAAGAATTTTAACATTTAATCTAATAATAGTAAACAGAAAAAGATTAGCATAGTGTTCTTTTTTATTCACTAATTTAAGTAGTTTTACGAGCGGAGAATGGAAAAAGACAGAATGAGAATGATGATCAGAAACTTTAAAGAAAATATTAACCTTCGAAAGTTAAAACAATTAAAAATATTAGAAATTGTGATACCGGATCTACAGTCGACCGCATGGTCGCTCAAGTTTCAACCCCGGATAGATAAGCATTATCATTGTACAAAAACAGGAGCAAAAAGTTATATGAAAATGATGATAAGAGGATCATGTACATAAGTACGTAAGTACATAACGGGGTAAGTACATACGTACAAATTGAAATTCTCACCCAACACCGCATTTGAGTTAAGATACACAATGTCTGGAGATTATAGATCATCTTATCTCTTATCACAATAAACTTATGCAAGGTGACGAATATAAGTTAATCTAAGTGGTATGACAATTTATATAGATAATAATATATAATAATATTATTATATAGATAATAATATATAATAATATTATTATATAGATAATAATATATAATAATAAAAACATTATACGTATAGATAATAATATATAATGATAATATATATTTTATATACATAATATTTTACTCTTCGTATTTTGATCGTGGGGCTTAAACTATTGTTATAACGAAATTCTGTCGTCATTTATAACGTAAGTTGAATGATTCCATTTTATTAAATAAGGGAAAATCTGGTATTTACGAGATACGTACTAATGGAATTGTCTATGAACAGTCAATAACGCAATGCAGCCATTTCTTAAACATTCAAAGTTATCATACATAAATCTTATCTAAAGTTTACCTTGTGTTGCGTTGCACTTTTCTGAAAAATTTTCCCGCGCCTTCATTAAGTTAATTCATACATGAATCATAAATTAGCAAGCACAGAAATATTGGTATAAATATACCGGAATTACGGCTTCCTTCAAAAATCATTTTCTAAACTTTGAGTAATAAACAAAAAAAAATAACAAATGCTTTCCGAACAAACTTCGCCCGCGATACCTCGTATTCACGCCTTGACTAATCATAAACATATCGTTCCTATGAGAACTCACATGCGCGTTGGTTTTATTTCACGAGCGGAAGCGGGCAAAATTTTAGCTAGATTGTTAAAATATTATGATAATATGCCAAACACCAGTATGTTAAACTGAAATTATAGCTTTGTTAAACTGAAATTATAGCTTTTATTTTTCTTTGAACGACAACTGATTACTTATTATTTATTATTTACCAAAGTTGTCCTTTCTATCAATTCTGCGCCTTTACCTCTGGCAAATGAAATCGCTGTAAAATTAAACCTACCATTAGATTTGTTCCTTATTAGGACCCTTAAGGTTGATGGATGGACAGTTGGCGCTGTAACCGACAGAACAGCGGAACCATTATTAAAGGATCAAATTATTAGGTATGAATTATAAAAATATGAACAATTTCATAAATTGAAAAATTACTAATAATAATAAATGACGTTAATAGGGGTTGTGATATCTCACAAGGAACACTCGATCAAATAATTAGGCAAGAGGTAATTGTCTTTATACACACATATGTGTATATATATGTTTTTGAATAATAACAATCTTAACCATAATTTTTTTTTTTTTTTTACACGATCGTTGTTTAGCGTTCTCAACTTGACATGCAAAGAGTATTGTTTCAACCACCAAACATTCCGCTCTCAACCTCGGAGGATGCTACGATTTTGCTCGCCACTGATGGCGTTCAAACCGGTCAAAACGCCAGGGCCGCCATCACTCTATTGAGAAAAATGGGATATAAGGGAAAAATAGTTTTGGTTGCTGGTGTTATTGGATCTGATGCTCAGGTATTAAAAGAAAACTGGATTTGGTGCTATAAAAAAAAAAAAAAATTCTTATTCTATAATTGTACTTTATAATAGAAAATGTTTAAAAGGGAGGCTGACGATGTTATAGCTGTAAAAGGACCACAAAATGTTGGTACTGTTGGTATGTAAGACGATCGACTTAATCTCCGATCATTGCTTTAATTGCAATGACGCTAATGCGCACCACTTTTTTTCTTTAAAAAAAAAAAAATAATAGCCTCATGGTATGCAAATAAAGAGGAACTGACGAACGAACAGATAAGAAATTTTTTGGATCATAATCGATATAGCAGATAAAATATGAACTGGTTTTGTGATAAAATCACTACGTGTTGAAGCAACCGCATCATTTATACTTATAGCAAAAGTAAAATGTAAGGCCTAGTAAAAAAAAAAAAAAAAAAGGGAAGTTATTTTTATTTTTTTGTTCTTGCAATGTATATATAACAAATGATTATACTCTGTTTATTCTGACGTTGGGATTGTTAGTATTTTAATAATAAATTATTCTTCAAGTTAAAAATTAACGGTAAATAATTATCATGTATTCTAATGACGCTGTATTAGTGTTAGTATTAAATTATATACTATATATCTCTATATATCTATAAATAAATTACAACCTTGATTATAATAAGAAACGAGTGCTAATTTATAATTATAGTCATATTTATATATGAAATTTCATCCAATTAGCGATGAGGCATCACTAGTTTTATGAATGATAAAATCAAATTTACCGTAAAACATTTAAACGAATAAGTCGATTGCTTCCACTTCAATGTTCTGGCGGTGAAACCTGAATAAAGGGGTTAAGGACATGCTAGGTATCAGATGTATTTGCCACCGCTATAGCGATGTACGCTCCTGAAATCCTTAGTTCATTCGATTTTGCCTTTCTCATAAGATATATAATATTTAACACGTCCTTGATAACATTATTCCACATCGAAAGATATTTGAGTTTCACCCTTTCGTATAATGGCTATTACTAGTATCGATTTGAAATTTATTCAATAATTTTGGGAATTCTACATTTTCCTCCTTTTCTTCCAAAAGTTTTTTGTATTTTGAGGAAATAGTTGGTGGATTTTTGAAAATTTTTCTTGCACTTTTAACTTCTTCCATAAAATCTGACTCATGCGTATTATATGAGTCAAGATTTGGTATGATATTTTCTATCGTCCCATAACTCCTAATCATTTCTAATGCTTTTACGGGTCCAATCCCTCGGATTGTTCCGGAAAAATCCGTTCCGCATAAAATGCATAGATCGATAAATTCATCACGTGAAAGATTAAGTAATTCTCGAATTTTGACCGGTGAAACTTCCTGAATCGGATTTCGTTTAGTCAAAAATTGTCTTACAACTGGTCCATCCCCATATAATATGGTATCCGTATCGTCTGACACTGATGCGTCGGCTAAGCCGTGTGTTGTCAATGATGCGCATAATGCCTCTGCTTCGTACCCTTCTGATGTTATGCACGGAATTCCCCACGCTTTTAAAAATTCTTGGCATTCATCATACATCTTCCAAGTAACTTTAATCGTGCGTTTCTCCAAGTTTTTCATTATATCTAATATTATATCATTTGATAATTGCCCAGCCAACAAAGACTCGACAAGTTGGTATTCCATCTGCGCTATCCTGCGTTGTACTTTTGTAAACCTTTTATCATTGGCCAATAATGCTACCCCTTTCAATGCCGTATTCACCATGTCCTTTATTTCCTTCCTTAATTTTATATCATCGGCTAAAGGCTTAAAATTAGGGTACTTTTTTTTGAATGTCTGTTCATCCATCAAATTTGCAATTTTTTTGATTCTCTCAACTGATAAAGTTTGTATTGTCGTTTTTCTTGCTTGGCTTTTTGTTGCTATCTCTTTTATTAAAAGTAATAAGCGAATCAATTGTGTTTGTTGTTTCTGTATAACTTCCGTATTATGCGATTTAGATTCAATTACTTGCCTGATAAATTTAATTAAATAAATTAAAATTGGTATTTGCATCTCCAGTATAACCTTTTGCCTTATGCATCTTGACTTATCATCCTTTAAACTTCTTATCTCTTTGATTAATTTGTCGGATCCTTCAACACACGATTTTTCGAAATATGAATCTACAAAATCTGTATTCTGTTCTAATTGAATGAATGTCATTAGATCTTGTATGATCTTACCGGCCAAAGTTTCAGGAGGTTTGCAGGATGTAATATTCTGTGGAATATTAAGACGAATGTGAGTACCATTATCTAGAGTTTGTATCATTGACGATGAAATCGTCTTCTCTACAACTTCACTAAGACCCATTGTTATATATTCTGAAATACTACTATCTTTCTTTTTTTCCATTTTATTAACAACTGATTTCCATTTTTCTAATCTTTCATTCCTAATTTTTTCAAATTTTAATATTTCTTGAGCTTTTTTCGCTAAATTTCTTCTTCTTATCAATTCCTTATTTTTCTCTTTTATTCTTGTTTTGCCATCAAACACGAATATCGGTGTAATATTATTCTGTTTTAAAAGTAATGTCATCCTGTAAAAACCAAGAATATGTGTATACGGATGCATTTCCCCCTGACCATTAGTAGCTTTGATACCATAAACAAATTTTCGAAGATAAATACTACCGTCTATTGCCAATCTCTTGTGTTTGTATTGGTCAAGGGTTTTTTGGACTATTGAATCGGGAGCGTAACGTTTTAATAATGAGTTTAGACGTTTAACACCCATTTATTTTATTTTATTTTTTTTTACGTATCAGGTATAAATAATAAATATATTTGATAGAATAGTAAAGCTTTTATATAAAATTATCGCGAACCGCGAATTTCAATCACGTATGACATTTGCAATACGTGACACATAATAACAATTAACTGCAGGACTAAACATTCCGTGTCTTTTATTGGTATCTTGTTATTTGTCACGCAGATTAACTGAGGCTTAAAATAATCAAAATTTTTAATGATTTTCTTTGCCTTGAGATTTTTTCCTTTAATAAGCCTTTTGGGTTAGACATGGTTAGTGTTTCGTACAGTCGGATATTTTTTAAATATGCAAATGAATTCAGAAATCTGTAACAGCAGTTTTATATCGACCGATTTGGTTTGACCCCAAAATTAGCCAATCATGATTGAGAATTATTGTCGTTACAAAATAAATCAATTGCCCGGGTAACTTATTTATATACTTTAAAGTACTTTTTTGTAACACAATGTTTTGCTAATAAAAAAATCGTCGCAAAAACTATTCATAGCTTTAGAATACAGGAATAGTGCCAATATTCACTGTGCAAAAGAATCTAAAAATAAAATATACCGACCGTTTATTGAATAATCTCAAATTATATTGAAAATGAAGATAAGTGAGAACGTTTTTGTCCAAGACTGCCTTATTACGTCAGATTTGAAAAAACTTTTATTACTAACTATTAAAATAGTTTATTGTAAAAGAAGTTCCGGGTTTAGTACTTGAATATGGGATCTTTGCCTTGAAAATAGGGTTCCGGGTCCCCAAACCAAAATTGGGATTTTGTTAAATCTTAATTTATGAAAAACAAAGCTTATTTTTGTGCAAATTTTATAACCGGTTAACTTAATGGATTGGATTGCGGCAGCTAGGTTCAATGTACGATTCCGTAGAATTGGATTTACCAATTTGTACTAAATCTAGTATATTTAAAAAAGAGTACATTTATTCGGCTTTACTTATTTGTGCCAGTAATACAAACTCCTAAAAAGGAAATAGCCAATAAACAACATTGAAGATCCTATTAA